CCATTCAGTTTTAGAACATTAATAAACATGCTCATGGATATTTTACTTTAGAGCCTGCGTGCTCATGTTTGCCCTGTGTGGCCCTTTGTTTTAAACAATGTTTTCCGCTGCGTATTGAATTACTTATTATGTATGTTTATGGATGACTTATGTGTGAATGATATTCATGACGCCTTGTATAATATGAATGTGTTGGACTGCGGTTGACTATTCGTATTGTACGGCGGGTTGTTGACGTGTCCGGGGAGGTCCGGGGCGTGACAATTAAGTTGGTATCAGAGCCTTAGTCCATAAACTTCATAATGAAGTCTCAAATTCTCTTTTCAAAATGATTTCGAAAACCATGAGCATAAACATTTTGTACTTGAAGAGCTTTTGGTACTCGAGTTGCAAGGTCTCTAATTGTTAAGATGGTACCCTTAGCAATTGGTATGGCAGCAATTTGAGCCAAGTAGTGTCTTAAGTACCGATCTGTCAATTGACATTTGACACGAGTCTAACGACTCTTTCCAAAATTTCTTTCAGAAATGGACCGTGGTGGCAAGGTAACTAGGAGGAACACCAGAACATGCCGAAGATCGCCAGAATGTGGGAAATATTTGATTTTGACATTTACCCGGTCGGGTGGGCACTTGACCCGGTCGGGTAAATGCCCCAGGGTGTTGAAAACACCTATAAATAACCCCATTTTCCTTCACTTTTCATCACTCCTTCCATACTCTTAAGCTCAGTTTAGAATGACATTTCTTTTATATTTTTATAGCATGTTTAGTCTCCAAATGAGGAGCTAAACTTCCATTTCTTGGCGTTGCTCTTGAAGCTTGTTGATTATTAAAGTTGTGAGTTATTTTCTTAAACTTCTTCCCTTGAATATTAATTATTCCCTTAATCTATCTATATATTAATGTTGGGGAGTGTTACTAAGATGACAATTAGTTAACATCTCGACATTAATTATAGTAGTATTTATTTTCTTCCTCTATATATTAATGTTGGGGAGTGTTGCTAAGATGACAATTAGTTAACATCTTGACATTAATTATAGTAGGATTATTCATCTTTAATCTTCTTCCTTGAATATTAATTCTTCCCTTAATCTCATTCTAATTAATGTTGGGGAGTGTTTCTAAGATGACAATTAGTTAACATCTCGACATTAATTACTACTAGAAACGATCAACGAACCGATGGTTAATCGTTGATGGTTTCACAAGTAACTTCGGTTTATTAATGCACGGTCGTGGTTAATAAACTTAAGAGGGATTAATTTTGTTGGTTAAACCGAAACCGTTGTGTTAAGGTTATCAATCTCAATTGATTTCATCAAGGAGTTAAAGAGATTAAATGCTACTATTAAATCGGTATACGGCGGTGTTCTATATTTGATTAATAGTAAGGGTTATTAATGAACGGTCGTTGTTAATAACTACCCTCGATGAATTGGAGATACTCCTCGATTGAGTATTCGAGAGGGGATAAGTTATAGATATAACAATGATCGACTAAAATATATCAACAAGTGGAAAGTATCAAAGCCAAGTTCTTTATATCTTTGAATTAATTCATCTTAGTATTTAATCAATTAAATCACTCAATCCCAAAACCCCCCTTTTACTTACTAGTTCATAAAAAGAGAATTATTCCTTTCCTTGTGGATACGAACTCTACTTCACCTATACTACGTATTAGTGCTAGTATTGAATTTATTTTGACGCACTGTGACAAAGTGCACGTCATCAATAATGCACCAGTGTAGTTTGTATGTATTTAGTTAACTAAATAAATACTCCGTGCCTACCTATTATCAAAACATGTACTTAATCAATGGTTATAAAGCATCGTCAAAGTTCGACTTCAAGAGTTATGAAAAAGCTTTTGATTTAACAGCAGAAAACAAATGGTTAACGGTGGTAAGGGTAGACAAGGAAGAGGAAAAGTAAAGTCCCACTTTTTAAGAGCAATGCACAATTTCTTATGCACATAATGTGTTGACATAAATCAAGGGTACTAATCCTTGTTCATGATTATAATGTTGTTAGATTAGATAAACCTTTCATCCTCCTTCCCATTCTTATTCCCACAATCCCAGTATCTCATCGCTTGCCGAAGCCCACATGATTCAACTTCTAAGGGCATGTTTGGTTCAAGGAATGTCAGATTACATATTTGGTGAATTACTTGAATGCCCTTTAAATATTTGTCTCTTAACATATACTACATACTTTTCAAATAATCTTCAAATAATCCAGATACATATTTTGATCCAGAATTATTCTAGCAAATAATCTCATTAAATAATTAATGTCACTCAGTGATACTCCTCCAAAAAATCCGCCATGTCACCAATTTAATATCTTAATAATCATACCAATGAGGATGCCCTAAAGTGGTGGAAGGATAAAGAAAGAACGTTCCCGGTTTTATCAAAGATAGCTGAGCAAGTGCTATCAATGCCGGTTTCAACAATTACTGTGGAACAATAATTTTGTGCAGTCGGCAACGTGTTAACGAATTATAGAACGAGATTGATTATTATTTATTAGAAAATGTATTTCATGTTTTAATTTTTTTTCTCGGTTCTCAATTGTAGTTCGTGTTTCAAATAAATATACTTGAAGTTTTTTATATGTAGCACTTCTTGAATTAATTTTTAAACATGAATTAAAAAAATGTATCCGGCCTGGCCCGCTACCCGGGCGGGTAGACCGGCCCGAACCGGTACTGGTCAACAGTCGGGTCGGTCCCGGGCTTCATTCCTAAAAGCAAGCCCGGCCAGGCCCGACCCGGAACCGGATTGGGCCCGACCTGGAACCGGAACTGGACCCTGCTCGGTCCACCCCTAGATATGTCAATTAATGAAGCATAGGTTTTTTTGGAAGAAAATTAATAAGCCACCAGGAATCTAACATAACCTAAGGCATTGGTGGGTTTGACATGCCCGGTAATGTGATCACTTTTTCCGCTTTCGAGAATGTAACATTCCCGAAAAAAAAATCAAACCCACGAACCAAACACGTGTATTTCACATTCCGGCCATGAGATTCCGCCATGTATAAGATATCACCTTGAACCAAACACTCCCTAATGGGAAAAGGCTGCCCGGTACAACTCTATTCTAGCTATCTTGAGTCTTCCGTGATGGTTGCGAATGCACTAATGCAGCCTCTTCCTCCCTCAAACACGGCTGCATGCCTGCATCTACATCAATTACATGCATGGTAAAGGAGCGACTATATGTCTATATATGCGCGCAATGCATGATCGAAAAAGTCAAATAAACTTATAGCCCGTTTGGTAACACCAATATCGGTTGAATCGGCTGATTCTGCTAAATTTATGAAATTATGCTTGAAGTGACTGTATTGGCTGATTCTGTTGATTTAGGGAAAAATTATATTTAAAATGTTTGTTATTAATAAATGAAATAAAAAATTATATGAAAAATAGCTAAAATGATTCTCTACAGTAACTTCAGTCAATACAGGCAGCAAAATAACTTCAACCTTACTTTTTCTTATTAATACATAATTCAGCGCGCGAAATCAATAGTTAAGTCTTTGGTGAAAAGGCTGACTGATAAGTCTGAAAACCGAAAAAATGGGTTATCAAACGGGATCTTAATCTTTCACTTTATATATCTAACTTTTATCAAATTAAACGAGATTTTTTCTTAAATATTACTAATAAATATGTCGTGGACAAAAATGTTACAGTAATTAGTAACTATCAATGACTATAATTGTGTTCAAAATTTACATTGTAGTAACTTACAATGCAATTACTACGATGTAATTTCAACACAATTATAGTCATTGATAGTTAGTAATTAATATTTTTGTCCATTCCATTTTGGTAAAGAGTAATATTAATGGAATATATTCTTATCCATTTGTGAAATGGAAAACTGTCAATTTGGTCCTCGTACTATTACAAAAAAAAGTCAATTGGGTGCTCGTACTTTTAAAAAAACCAATCAAGTCCCCAAACTTTGTAAAAACGTTCAATTGAATCCATTTGCAGATTACTTGCCAAGTCAGCAGGTCACCCGCTGACATAACACACATGTGGCAGCCAGTCAGCATTGACTTTGCTGACGTGGCGCATATGTGGAAGCCCGATCAGCCATTTTTCGATGATGTGGACAGCCACATGTGCGCCACGTAAGCCAGTGACCTGCAAATGGATTTAATTGAAAGTTTTAACAAAGTTCGGGGATTTGATTGATTCTTTTAAAAGTACGAGGACATAATTGACTTTTTCGTTATAGTACGAGGACTAAATTGACCGTTTACCTATGAAGTTGCAGCACTTTGTTGATATCTGCCAACACAGACTTTTCACAATTCACATTTTTAATTGATCATTAATACAGATCTAAAAGGACATAGTTTTAAAATGTGTTAATATGAGATAAGTTTATAATGTTTTATATAGCACAATTATTGAGTACATTTAAAAATAAAATGCAATTAAAATAGAGCATGTGAGTACCAAAGAAGTCAAAGCAGAGTATATAAATAATGCAAACTCAAATGTTTCAAGTATTAAAAATGGAGAATGTATGCCACGAATTTTATATAAAATTTTATTTTTGTACCAGGATTTAATGTTTTGTACAAAAATTTAAAATACTCTAAGCTTTGTTAGATTGCAGTTAACATTCTAAAATTTCATTTGTGAAATAAATAATATTACATATGTTACAATATAATTTTAATTGCATCCTCACAATTTTTTTTTGTATTTCAAACTATGTACTTAATACATAAAATTATATTTGCGAAAAGATATATATCATAATGATGCTAATATAACTTCTTATATAAAATTTGATATATAGAATTACATGTGCAAGTTTGGTGCACTTATCTCACACTCCTTCAAGTTTGGTGCACTTATCTCACACTCCTTCCTGAGGTGTGGTATTTAAGTTATTTTCCCCAACTAATAAACTAATTTCTTTTTATTGTAAATAAATATTGCGTATTGTATATATGCAGTCTATGATCACACACCAAAGGAAAGTGGTTAAATTTTAGTACTCTTCAAACATGGGCATGCTCAGGACTCAGGAGTACCACGAAAGTTCACAGCCCATTATAATTTATAGCCTTATTGTGAAGCCCAACTCATGGCTGTCCGAAAGCCCATAGCAGCTAAACATCCAGCATCAATACCAGTGACCGCTGCGGCGCTGATAACCAGATTTTCAGGCTGCTTTTCGCCGAGGGTCAGGGCCGAACATAGATGATGAACAAGCTGAGTCAGGTAGGCGTTGAAACGCCCGTCTCCTTCCCCTTCTTCATCCGTCTTTTCGCCCCTTTTTGTTCGAAAGCAACATAAAACCGGGACGATGGAGTCATTGCCATTTGAATCAGCTAGCGGACTCTGTCAGGTTAAAAAACGCCCTCTTTTTGATGAAAATCCTGCATATTATCCGACTGATTTCTCTGGATTTGTGCTATTTATATGCAAGGATGGCACTTGCTCTGCTCATCTTACCACCATTGAAGGTGCATTTCTTTATCTTCTTCGTCTTCTTCGTTTTAATAAAGGGTTTTACTGGATGCGCCATTTTCTGATTCGAATAGCTTCCTTCTAATTTGTTTTTGTATTCAGTTCTTTATCTTAATTCTTCTTAAATAGTTTTACTTACCCCTGAGCTTGGCCGCTTGCTTCAGTATAATGTAGTTCTTCATTACTAATTGAAGAGCCATGGCCTCATTCAATTAGTTTTTCTTATTTTCTTTAACATCTGATGTGCCTCATTCAATAGGGTATCTGAATGTCTTATTGCTTGCAAAAGCATGGTGAAAAGCATTCTTTTTTTTATATTTATACTCGTAATTTCATTTTTCGTAATTGTACTCTTTTGATCCTATACTTTCATTTTTCTTTTTATTAATGTACATTGTATGAATAAAGGGTGTCGTTTCCTTCTGAAATATTTGATGCACTGTTTTTACTATACTACAATATAGGATTCACACTTTTTCAAAGAATAGTGATCTTTTCATTTAAATAAAAGCTCACACAAGAGGATCTGCAGTTGTTTATAGTTAACTTATCTGAAGTAATGCTAGTGATGACAAAGACGATAATTTTTTAATGCCTAAGAGATGTTAGTTAGCAGTTAGAAGATTGAAGAATTCTTTATAGAAAAAATACTACCTCCGTCCCAAAATAATGGTCATGTATTTCCTATTTGGGGTATCCCAAAATGATAGTCACCTTTCCCTTTTTTTGTAAAGAACTTAAAGTAGACAATCACTTATACTCCTCCTTTTTAATGAACAGTAAAAGTAAATGAGTGAACAGTGCAATAAACTGAATAAAGTAAGGTTATATGGGCCTTCTACCACTCTTTCTTAATATTTGAGCTCAAAAAGTATAGGACACCTAAAATTTGGGACGAAGGGAGTACAATTTATTGTAGTTATTCGATAAAAATTCTATGTTTTATTTCAGTAGTTTGGTTTGCTAAGAGTGCCAACTAAATCTGATAATATCGAACAACATGATCAAAAGAATCCAAATCATTATATTTGAAGAACTAACTAACTTTGTCCATTTAAAGTTGCAGATCGAAACTGGAAGTTTTGCCATTAATGTTTTAATTTTTGGAGTGAATTTAGAGATAGTAGGATCCTTCATTAAACCTTTCCTTATTTTTCATGAAATTTAGTTGACTTTTATACATTAGTACTAGGTAATAGATTGATTTCCGTAAAGCTTACTTTCGACCTCTTATAATTACTGTAACAGGAGACGGAGGCTGATAGCGGATTGCTTAAAGTGTTCAGGTAAGGAAATAACCGAAATATTGACATGGTGTCACATAATGGTGCATTTGCTTTGTACATTATTTGTAATATCTTAGTTTCGAAAATAAAAGATTAACATATACACATATATAGCATTTTTGGTGGCTTGCGCATGACCACCACGAATAGCTGACCTCTATATGCATTTTTCACTGAAGAGTAACGGTGTAGAAATGTGTCTGTTTATTGTTCTGCATGAGGTGATTAAAAGATTCATTAATTGTGCACACATTTTTCTATAAATGCATGCTTGCTTCTTCCGATAAGTAAATGCCTAAAGGAGGAAAAGGAAAAAATTCAACTTCCTGAGGAGTTTTGTGTAAGACGATCATCAATTAATTCTTAGTGAGTTCATTTGTTCTGTTAAATTCAACCTTTGCATGTCTGAAGTTAGTTTTTCACTGTTATTATAGTAGTAGCTCAATTGTATGCAAGTGTCTTTGTATATATCAGATGACATTAAAGATGTTTTATGGGGTCAATGTAGCACTATTTACATTTTAAATATGTAAATATTAGTGAATTATGCTTTAATTTCTTAACTAAATTCTTTCATATACACATTCATTAGTCACATGTACTCTTTTTTCAGGCTCTTCTTCCATTTAGATAAAGCTTCCCCTCTGCACAACTCACCATACTTGGCTAGTCTCTACTCTTCAAGATGAACAATCCTCAGCATGGTCAAAATGAAGTAAGCAGATAGTATAATTAACTAGGTGCAATGTATGCTTAAGTAAAGACTATGTCAATGTTTAAGTATTTTATCAAACTACTCTTCAAGTGAGAGTGTGCGAGCTATCCTCATACAATTTTATTGACGCCATTCCTGAACCTGGAAAGGAACGAAATTTGTTTTGTCTATTGCCCTTTCCTTGGAAAATACAAACGAAATTTGTATATGATTAAGGGTATGTTTTGGATCTCCAGAAATGGTAAGGAGGAGATAATATAAAGAAGGTTCTTTCCTTCAAATTTTCAACTCTATTTCTTCTTGATTTCTACCCTAGCATTTTCTGGGCTCCAAACATTCCTTCAAGGCTTTCTTTTCCCGTAGCCTTACTACCTGCTTCAGGAAGGAAGTGTAGGGTGATTGTCTCCTGTAGCTGTTACTTAATCCCCCTCTGAAATGTATAATTTGCTTGCAGGAGTATGAACCAATTGTTCCGGGATTCGAAGTCCCGTCATCACCCAAGTCAAGTTATGACAATGTGTACGACATAAAAGAAGATGAAGGGCGGCATCCGCCTGAGGCTCCTCCACAACTTCTGGAACCCGTGACAATCCGGAGATTGACCACTGGTGAAGAGACACTTGGCAAGACGCCCAATCCAGTGGTCCTAAACCATCTCTTCACCAATGTGGACGACAGAAAATTTTCATGGGAACCGGTGGCAGTGGCAACAACTCACCGCTGTCCATCAAAGTATGTGACTGTTGTGGTTTACAAACCTCCTCCTCAGTCTCGAAAGGACAGCCCCAGCAGTACCTGAAATGCTTATGTGTTGTAGTAAGTGGTAAATATATATAATTAGATACACACACACACACTCCGTATTTATAAAGCAACTTTCCAGTGAAACATTATTTCAAACATTAACAAGGATAGTCTAGTCATACTATATCGAGTACGGTATTATACTCTATCAAATGGCTTCGGTATGATATAGTGAGTACCTTGAAAAATAGTCCAACCAAATAGTCTCTGTAAAGTTACAAAAAAAATCAGAAACACAACACACGAACATGATAAATAAATTTATATCCTTATTTTTGTTCAAATTGTTTTTTCAAAGAATGAATTAATTTTTTAATATGTGGTCAGTTCAAAGTTAATACACAATTACTATAATTTTTGTTCAAAATTTAATAATGTAGGACATCAGTAGGTTAATATTAGTACTTTGTACGTGTCTTTATTAATGGTCTCAGTATATCACCAAAAAACACCAATATTGTATGGAAATTTTATGACATAATATTTATATACTCCCTCCGTCCCATTAAATTCTTCCAACTTTTCTTTTTGGGCCGTCCCAAAAAATTCTTCCAACTTCCTAGGCCTGGGACCGGTTCTGTTCCTAGGCCAAATATGTGGAACCGTTTGAAAATATGAAATTTTACTAACGGTTCGGTTCTTATAAATTATTTTATAGAACCGTTCTTAACGGTTCGGTTCTTGTCATTTAACGGTTCCTAGTCTTCGAAAAAATTCTTACAAATCATGACTAAATTTTTGCCAAAAAGACATTCTACGTTTGAAATTACGATACAAATATGCTTAAACAGTTAAATAGAATAATAATTTTAAATACTTTGGACCTTCAAAGTTCTGACCCGCTGGAGTTCTGACCTAATGAGAGGCCTAAGAAGCCTAAGAGAACCGGTTGAAGTGAATAATAGTTTTAAATAGTTGAATAACTAAACTAAAATAATGAATGTAATATAAAAATAAGTAAGTAAATATACATAAAAATATATATACTCATGAGAAATATATATAATTTTAATTATTATATATAACGGTTCCTTAACGGTTCCTAGTACATATTTTTTTCAGGAACCGAGAACCGAACCATTAATAAAAAATAGGAACCGAACTGTTAAAAAATAACTAATAAATGTTGGAACCGAACCGAACCGGGTCATAACGGTTCGGTCTGGTTCGGTTCTCCGGTTCTTGGTTCCGGAGTCCCAGCCCTACAACTTCCTCTTTTGGAAAAATTGTGTGGTTTATATTCATTCACCTTTCTATTACACAACTACAACCATACATTTTCACTTTATTCCGTCTTCCTTAATTTGCAAGCCAAATCAAACTTGGAAGAATTTATTGGGATGGAGGGAGTACTATTTTTATCGAATTTATGTTAGATTGTTGGATACTTGGATGTAATGTTATTTTTGCTCTTCAGGTCCGTGTAAGAGTTCAAATACTAAGGTGTGCAGAGGAATGAGATTTTCAGATTGCGGGATAAAGAGAGAAGAGTGTTTGAAGGGAAAATCGCATATATGGTCCCTCAGTTATCCACGAAATTAAAATCTTAGACCTGTATTTCTTTTGTTGAAAGAAATACAGGTCTGAATTATATGTTTGTTTTCTGATAAATTTATAATTGCGATGTAAACATTATATATATATTTAAATCTGTTTTTCATTTATTTAGTTTTATGCTTGATCCACTTACCCTCTCAAAAGAAATATGGTACTAGCAAAGGTGAGAAAATGCAGTGATTGTTTTGTACAACAAAAGAGGAAAGATAGTAATAACAGCTAACATTACCTACAAACAGTGCAAAGTATTAGAAGATAAATCAACCATGAGAAAATTAGCTGCATAACTCAAAGTACATTAACATCCATTGCATTATCTTGACAGTTTCTGTGATAGGTTCAGTTTGTTTAGGCTCTGTTTGCAATCACTTAATTTAAGTGATTGTGGTTTTTTTTAAGAAAAAAATACTTATTTTACCAAACACTACCAATTTTTACTTTCTCGGCTTCTGTCTAGAATCTACTTTTTACTTTTTCTATTACACAAAAAACACTTATTTTACCAAACATTACCAATTTTTATTACTAACCACTTTTTCTCAAAAAATGCTTTTATTTAAGCACAATTACTTGCAAACAAAGCCTTATTTCTTGTGTATCGATCAAAATCCCAACTTTATATTGCAAAGGAACTTAATATGACAAATCTACTAGTCATCTGAAAATAGAAGATATTTAAATAAATGGATGAAACCATATCTGTGTTTTCAAATTGATCACTAATAAAAACAAAAAAAAAATCCAAAATATTAAACATATTGTTCTCTCATTCAAATTGCTCGAGAATATCAAATATCAAACCAGCCATATATTACGGTGAGAAGGACTACATGTTGATCTTTTTGTCTAACACTATCACAAATATCTAGCATGCAATGAGAATAAAAGTTATAAGGCATTATTATAGTGATCTAAGACTACCTATATATAAGGCTATAAGCATAGGGGTCACTTATATAGTTATATGTCATTGAGAAGCTTTGGAAGCTAATACTCCGTATAAATAAGTAAAAAGTTCTACTTCAAGTCTTCAACCATCATACAGTTGGGTCGTAACTCAAAGTACATGCCACCCTTAGCATCTATCCTCAGCTCCTAACATTGTTTGATTGATTTAGGGAGTGTTTACTAAAGATTAAAATAAGTGTTTTTGAGTTTTTGACTTGAAAAAAACTGAAATGAGTGTTTTCAAATGACAACTTCTACTTAAATTAATTAATCACTTAAAAGGTAAAAGCTGGAAGCAGGTTGAAAGGTGTTTTAAATTGTTTTTCACTTTTTCTGTGACACAAAAATCACTTATTCTATCAAACAATACCAACTTTTACTTTTTATAATCACTTTTTTTCCAAACACTATCAACTTTTACTACTTCGTATTAAACATTTTTTCCAAAATCACTTTAAGAAATCACTTTTTAAAGTAGAAGCATCACAAACACTTCCTTAGTTTGTTCATTCCTCGTGTATTGATCAAAATCAAATGAGGATAAAAGGATTATAATGATAATGTGATACTAATAATATAACAATCTTAAACTTAACTTAACAGTTCCTTCCATGTGCTCAAGCAGCGATCAAGAAAGAAAGAGAATTGAGACCAGAAAACCCATCTAATATGATCATCCAAATAAACAAACACTAATTAGGCATTTGCACCATGTTCCAGTATTAGTACGCAGCTCAATATAGAAGAATATTTCAAAGATCATAGCAAAATTATAAGTTCAGAGAGCAAATAAACATACTTTTTCACCAAACATGTAACTTTTGATTTTGCGCGTTGAATTATGTAGTTATAAGAAAAATAAGGTTTAAATTACTTCTTTGACTTTACTAGTTGAAGTAATTGTAAATGATTATTTTAATTCTTGTATTATATAATTTTTTTTATCTTATTAATAAAAAACATTTTAAATATATAATTTTTTCACAACTAGAATTTTATAAATTTCAACGAAATGTGTAGTTTCAAACTTTCAATCATTTTCAATACCTGCTCAAAATGCAGTTCTACCTTTGTCCGCTGAAAAGCTTTAGTACTACCTAATATTTTTGGCATTTTTGGAAGAATAAAGCCATTTACTGCCATTATTACTTTATGGTTTACTGCTAAACGACAAGGTCCATACCACCTGGTCGCCACTACTGGCCATTTTAGGGGTGTTTGGAACTGATTCTGCTTCTGCTTCTATTTTTAAGTGAGAAGCAGAATCAGAATTTTCTGCTGTATGGAAAAGTGATTCTGTCTGAAGTGTTTGGTATTGATTCTGCTGTATCTAATAGAGAATCAGTTTAGAGTGTTTGGATAAGCTGCTTCTGCAAACTGATTTTTGTGTAAATTTACTAAAAGGGCATTATTTCTCCCCTGATTAGGCTTGAATTCTTTTTTAATGGCTGGGAAGTTGATTAGTAAGTGTAATGACTAATCACGTGTACAATTAATCATTTTTATTCACATCACTAAAATCTTACGTATTATTTTATGTTTTTAATTTCCTATTTTTTCCAGTTACAAATGATCCGGTTATAATGTTTCACATTTCTCATTTCTTACAAGTCAGTAATAATAATAACTCTTTGTATTTAATTATGACACCATACGATTTTGTCGACTATAAGACTCTTAAGTCTAATTACATGGTCCAAATACAATTAATAATAACTTTATGTAATTTTATATTTTTCTAAATATTAAAGCATTAAATTTTTATACGTAAAATATTGTAGTTACTTTTTAAATATATCTAAAAATATAATTAAATCACAACTTTAATTTTGAAATTATTTAGAACTAATTAATTTTGAATCCTGAATGCTGCAACGCCAAATAGCTATGCCTGAAATGCTTATGTGGTGATTTTGAAAATTGATTAAGGTTTGATTTCTTTTTACCTACTGAATTTTCATTTCGGTTTTGGAAATGTTAATTAGTTTTCATTCGGATCTAGGCTTTGAATTTAGGTTATTCCATTATGATACCACCATCTGTTGAGCACATTAACATCAACGGCAATAAATAGCTATCATATAATCATAATTTAAACCATCAAAAGCAGTAGAGTCTTCACATAAATACATATTACGCATGCACTTGTGCAAAAAACGTTGTCAATGCATGAAAGTTTTAAAGTATCTTTCACCAAAATAAAAACTAACGGTAGTTATCATTGATCGCATTTGCTATTGTATTTCTAATAGCATTCATGTGAACCACATCTTCATTTCTTTGACTTGATGATGTCTCCCCTTGTGTGAATGGAGCATCTTGAGGATCAACTCCTTCATGTGGGTCATATGCTTCATTTTGAGCAACTAAGAAAGCATCATCTTGAATACTTTTGATTCTAATGTAGTTGTGTATTGCCATGGATGCGACAATAATGTCGATTTGAGTACCAATAGTGTAGTTGACATGCATGTCTTTGAGTATAGACCACCTTGCTTTCCAAACTCCAAAAGTCCTCTAAATCACATTGCGCAAAGATGAGTGTATGTAGTTGAATCTCTCTTGTGTTCCCTTTGGAGTACGTGCTCCACTTGTTTTGCCTCTCCGAAAATCTTGAAAGTGATACCTTATATGTGTTCCCTTATAAGGTGCAAGATAGCCCTTAGTGTTTGGATATCCCGCATCAACTAGATAATATTTATCTATAAGAAGAAAAGAAGAGTTTTAGTATTTCAAAAAGGGAAAATAGTTCTTTACTTGTATGACTTGTTACCTCCACTAGGATGAGGGAACTTTCCATCTTGCTTTCGTATTGTGTCGGTAAATATTCTTGTATCATGTGCGGATCCTTCCCATCCCGCCAACACATATGTGAAACACATGTTGAAGTCACAAACCGCCAACACATTTTGTGTTGGGTAACCTTTCCTCCCAATCCATTTTGTTTTCTCACTCTCTTTAACACTAGCCTTCACATGAGTTCCATCAATAGCCCCTATGCAATTCTATATGAAATAATATATCAAGAAATACTCAACACCATTTTATGATTTATTACACATAAATAAAATAGTACTCACCTTGAAATATGGCCAATATCGTGAGTTGCGACGTATATGAGATGGACATTCTTCATTGTAGCTATTGTTGGGTTGAATTATGTCCATTGAAAGTCTACACACGGCTTGAAGAATCAAGTGAAAGTGTCGGTGTATTGTCTCACCGGAATGATTAAAAGTCTCTTGAACCAACCTATTTCCCACACCATGAGCTAATGTCATCAAGAAAATACCCAAGGGTTCTTCAATGGATAGTTCTCTTGACTCAACAAAACCGTAATGACACTTAAGATCCTCACATAGACTAATAAATACTTCTTTGTGTAGCCTAAAGTCTTGATAGCATCGAATAGGGTGACCTTGTAAAACTTCTGTGATAAACATAGCTCCTGAACGAGCAGATGTACGGCAAGGAAGCGGCCTTTGTCCATGCAAGCTTTGCCCAAATAATATGCCAGAGACAACAATACCACACAAAATATCAATTTCATGATTATCATCCTCCTTAGTTTCGTTGTCAGATTATTCCTCGTTGTGAAAACTGATTTTCCACTTACCCATTGTGAAGAAGCAAAAATAAATCTGAAATAATGAAATCACAATAAATACTTCAAAACAATAACAAGGTTAAACAATATTATCAAACAACCTTATGCATTCCTAAACAGTGTTCTCAAACAAGGAAATAACATACTTAGGCAACATAACAACAACATACTTAAACATTGTTCTCAACAAGCTTAGAAAATAACATAATCTTCAATTCAAGACAATCATTAAAAAGATAAAACACCCTCACTCCTTCAGATTTTTTATCAGACTATCAAGGAGTACTTTCTTCGTCTCCAAAGTAGGTGGAAGCATTATACTCTGTCTCGCTTCTTTCTTCCAGAACAATTGGATGGCATCACAATATGCTAGTGTACCAGGTTCATAACCAGGAAATTCACTAATCATAGCAACACATTCTTCAAGTGATGGTACATTGCTTATCGGTGGTGCGGAGGTAACTGAGCTTCTTGATCCCATTATCTCAATTACCTTGTCTAGCTTGTCTTCAAACTTAGAGGCTGCAGAAGATTTACCCTTTTTTGCTCGAGAAGAGCCTGAACTTGAATGCCTT